TGCAACAATAATACTTCCCACACAACTGTGTACTGAAGAGGATTAAAGTTGTGATATTGTATCAGCTGCTGAAATCTCTTTCAGATGTGGGAGGAGAAAGAAGACTTTGGGCAGAATTTTGTCCATTACTGGGAAAGGGAGCTTGGCTGGGCAGCTCCTAGGTTTTTTTGGAGAATGGGAGCAGGGCACTGTGGCATCACCCAAGAAATACAAGTAAACTCTTCTGTTTTCCCTATATGATTTATTTAGCTTTCCCCAACACTAGTCTCAACTCATTTTCAGCTTCCTAATGTCATTCTTGCACTTCTGTGCCACCTGTCTCTACTCTTCCTTTGTTGCCTGGCCTTCCACTTCCTATATGTGTCATCTTTCACTTTCAGATTAACTCAAAGTTTTTATGAAGTTTTTAAAAAAACCACATAGTTTTCTTCTGTCAACTGCTATCTTTTGTTTTTGTTGAAATTATTTGTAATTGTGCCTTTAAAATTTCCTTTTTCAAAAACTCCCAACCATTGTGAAGATGTAGAGTTCCTTTTTGCAAGATTTTACTTAACCTTGTTCCTGAGTTTATTAAAATCAACTTTCCTAAACTTCAGAGTACATATCTGTCTACATTCCATTTTTGCTTCCTTTACAATCATGGACACAACTATGTTGTGGTCACTTTCCCATGGAGTTCCCATAACTTCCACTTTATCCACTAAAGTGTGGTATAGAATAAGAAGGAAATGTAGATTTATTTTCTGTGCACCTGAGCAGCTGTCTTATGCTGGTGAATTGAAGTCTAGCTTCTCTGCTCATGCTGATTACCTCTCACTTCCCTGAATTCAATTCCCAGATCTCCAACTCCCCCTTCCAAGGTATGAGCACTGTCTGCAGCTTCAGAAGAGGTTTTCAAAGTTTTTCTAGAGACCACAACATTGCTCTCTAAATTGTTGTTTTGTTTTGGTGCCCATAACACAAGCACCATGTTCTGCCAAAGATTTTTAAAAAGTCTTTAAAATGTCTTTGTAAAATGTTTGATTTCAGAGAGAAGGCACTAGGAAGATTTTCTTCACACAGTAGATGTCTGCTGAATTTGTGGGTACAGTAAGGAAACTTAGACACTCCTAAGCCAAGATTTCTGTTCCATGTCTACAAAAGCAAAAGCAAAAGCAAAAGCAGCACAGCAGGGGTTACAACTGGAAAGAAAAGGAACGTGTTATCCCGCCCCCTGCTGTGCACACTGGGATTTCTCCCAAAATTGAATCTAATATGGCTGTGAATGAGCAGAATAAGTTCCTATATATGGTTTTGTTTGACTATTGTTGGGAAAATTCAGATAAATCCTGGCAGAAAAGGGTTGCTTATACATGCCTTCATGTTATAAAATCAAATTTGCACCCCTTTCTTAGAAAGCTCTCCATTTCCTTGCCAGGTTACTGTTTAGCATTTGCTGTTACTTTAAGTGGGACTTGATGGCTTCCCCAACAAGCTGCCAGAGCTAGTGTTTTGCTGATCGGTAAGAACTGGCCAGGCTGCCATGCTAACAACATTGCAATCACCCTTATTTGCATGCCAAGACTCACAATATCGTGCAATCAAATGCCATTCTGTTGAGCCCCCTCTGCAGACCTCTCACCTTCTTCTAACTGCTCACCTTATTTCATCAACTGTCCAACTGCTGGGCCCATGTGACTCAGAATCTATAAAATACTCTGTATATGTTCTAAAAGTTTGTAGTTGGCAGTGGACACCACTGCCCGGTAGCATGCTGTCATAAGAAACTGCAGGGGGCCTGGGTGATCTCACCAATAAAAATGCTGGAGTTCAGGGTGATTCATTGTTCCCTGCAAGTCCTGGTAATTCATTCTCACCATTAGTAAAGAGACTCTGACACTATGTAGCTGGTCGTTAAGGCCTGGGTCTCTAGCTTGTAAGGATGTAGGCCTTGCTAGGCCTGAGTGAAACCTAGATGCCTTGTCTGTCTTAATTGCAATGTAACATCCTGTAAGGAGGATGTTGACAGATTGTGTTCTGGCCTAGTGAAGCATGGAAGTGGCAGGCCGGTGTGAAAGAAATGAAAGCCATATCAAACTCACTGAAAGAGATGGGTTTCCATCAGCGTTACGATGTGTGCTGGGCACTGAGGCAGCTGCAAAGTTCTTACTCAGAGCAGAACCATGGGCAGAGCAGAACTTGTTTGAATGGAATGTCATTTTCCCCTTCAATTCAGTTGAACTCTTGTAATTCCAGGAATGAAGACAATAGTAGAAGCATTGTCTTTATCATTACGTTGTCCTGAGTTCTCATAATCCTGGATGGGGTAAAGTGGTCATCAGAGCAGTGCAGCTAACACTGACATTAAATGGAAAACGAAACTGGGGCTTCCAGGTACAGTGGGCAGAGGTGTGATGACTGGTGAAATGCACCTACAGACTCAGCATTGGCCCTACTGAATGTATTTGTTGAAAAAAAAAATATGAAACATGAGGAGTTACTTTGACATCTTTTATTTGCTGCTAGAAAAGTGTCGCAATGGTAGGATTTAAAGATTTGATTGAATGGATTGGTTGAGAAGACCGCAATAATGTAAACACTGCCATACAACTGAAGGTTATGAGAGGCCAACAAAAGCTTGATTACCATTTATTGACTATACTAACATAATTTAATTTGAGAGAATGATACCAACAGATCATTATGGTTGCTGTAATAATTTCTGTACACCAACATGTACACCAGAGAGACTTTAGACTCTATTTTATATAAATTAATCTAGGAGTGGGAGGAAAGGTGATTATAGATCATGTTAAATGTATGCTTCCAAAAGTTTGTTTTTGTTTCTTTTTAAAAATTTCAATAAAGGAAACATCTTCCCAAACAAGTGTTTCCACTTCTTTAGGGTTATTTTTTAAAGGACAAAAGTCCCATTTTACAAGAGGCTTCTCCTACAAGAACACAGGAACAATAACATACTACCCACTGTGCAGTAACAAAAGTGATGATCACAAAGGAAAAGAGGTTGGTATCCAAGACCATTCCAGGGAAGGTCATTAGGTTTAGATAACTTTAGAATGACAGAACACATTTATGAAGAGATCTGCCCATGGCAATGTGCTGTACAAGCAAA